TATAAATACCTAATGGTTGTCAAGAGGCAAAGATAATGAAATTCTTACTACATAGCACTCCGTAGTAAGTATATATATTTTCTCCTCCCCCTTATTATTTAGCACAACCCCTGGGCACTGTTCCGTCTACCTGAACCTGATTTGACCGTCGGAGTGTATACGGTCGCCATTAGCCCCGCTGGTCCCGACTGTGTGTATCTGACCGTGCGTTGATTGTGCACAGGGATGAATACGTAGAGTAGCTCTCAGTTGATCACGTGGAAGGTCCAATTTTCGAGGTCAACATCTATTGTTGTTCCTTCTCTTATTGTCTTCGCCCACCTAGTTTAGCCAAACATTCTTTATCTTTATTTTCACTGTATTTATCTTATAGATATTTTATTCTTTAATGATTCAAGACTTGGTAACACAGAACGTAGCATGTCTATAGATCTTATTGCATAAAAAAATCTGTAGCTTAAGTAGTGAAAAATTGAAATATTTGTTTGCTTACAACTTTCCTCATGTGCATAACGAATGTAATGTTTATCAAAGGTCTTGCATGTGTGTAATTTCATTACATATTACACTATAATTCATTATACCAATTATTGAGAAGATGACTTTAATCCTCAACTTGGTTGAAGTCCACTCTTTTTTTTTTTTTTAATGAAAAAAAGTTGTCAAAACTTGGTTATTTTCTTGCTAGGTAGGGCCCATTCTAGCATGAATTGAGGATTGATAAAAATTCTATCCAAAGATTCGAAAAGATTTGCTAAGTCATGATGTTATCGTTTCTTTTCCCTTGAGGAGTTAGATTAATGCAAGTTGGCTCTAATTCGACTAATTGGAAACCAATTCAATTACTGTTGAAGCGATGTGTTGCCCCGTGACTATGATATGTAGTTGAACTAGTCCTGCTGCTGAATCTCCGTTTTCTGAACATGCATGGAGCTATTGATGGTATTGTCGTGGAAATTGTGATCGTGTATTATATGTAAAGGAGATAGTACCTCTTTGTAAATTTTGTCTAAAGGCCAAGTCTTATGTCTCGATCTGTCTTTAGTGTATTTATACTTTATCTCATGTACAGGTTGGCATTTATGTCATACCTAATCTAGATACAATTGGAGTTCAGTAAAAAAAAAAAAAAAACTTGCATGGAGTTTACTCTTTATACAAACATATAAATTAGTTCTGATAGAGCGAGCCTACATGACAACTAAAAGGGATTTTTTTTTTTTTTTCTGTATGTGATCAGTTAATCTAACTTAACGAATATATGTTGGGTACCCTTGTATTTCCATAACTCCGTCCATGTAATAGGGTTCTAATTCGACATCCCAAAGTGTTGTGAAAACTTATTGACCACTATAAGGTTGTACATACGAATTGCCTTGGCTCAATCATCTAATATGCTTGTTGTTGAGAATTAGAAACTCTAATTCTATATCATCAAGAAAATTAAAATTGTAGTAAGAAAAAAAACTGAAAATGAACGTGTAAGGTTTATAAAAGATAACCTCAATGTAAAACTATATCCTCTTCTAACGATACAGTAATTAATTGTGATGAAAACAAACGAAATATCGCAGATCCTATTTTCTCTAATCTCTCATCTTCTGATGATGATTTTTTAACCTTAATGATGACATGGTATTTTAAGAAAAATTAGGGCAAAATCGAGATTACAAGTGTGAAATACATAAATTTTCCTTAATGAAACGCTTATAGAGTGCACGTACGACAATAATTAGACTTCACAACCTAACAATTGTGTCCAATTCCTTCAAAGCAATACTCTATCTGTTGTTTCTAGTTGCATAATAAACAAAATTAAATTTTATTTTTAATAAATTTAAAGTCGACTTCATGATTTTTTTTGCATAACACTTTGTCATGGCAAAGTTTACTGGAATATCCAAAAAAGCAATCGGAATCTTTATATAATACATTCCCAAGAAAAGACCAGTAAAATCTTAGGTAGAATAAAACATCTAATCATGCAGTGAAACAAAAAGTAGGTGATAAAAAAATAGAAATGCTATAAAAATAGGGTCACGCTTCAAAGTATGGATAAATAGCTTGTAAAGTTATAATTTAAAAAAATAAAAAATAAAAAATACAGAGACTGTCAATTCAGTCTGTCCACACTTTTCCTATTTTTAACCATGTTCAGCCATCATTATTTGCAAAAAAATCACCTTCATGAGTTGGTAATTGCCATGTTAGATTCAAAATCTTTATTCGTGAAAAACACATAGTACAAACAAACGCGTCGAATGTTTCCATAAGACAATAAATATCTTTAATGCGTTGTACCATAAAAGACTTTACTAAGTCCTTAGTATTACTTCTTCCTTTTTTTTACCTGAAGGAGTTAAACATTGCAACTTGGCTGTAAATTAACTCATTGGAAATCGATGATGAAGTGATATGCTCCCCCATGACTATATGATCTGTATTTGAACGAGTCCTCCTTAGGATAAGATACTTCCTCCAAACGTACATAGACTATTTAGGCACATTGATAAGGACTGTCTTAGAAAATGTTATTCACACGGTTTTGAAATGAGATAGCTCTTTCTTCGTCCTTACAAAATGTTTTGTACATTAAATCGAGAATAATGCCCAGTGTACAGGAAAATGACTCACATGTATTTTATAGGCCCCCTTATTGTGCAAGAGCCCCACATGTATTAAAAAAAGTACATGGACCCCACGTATGTGTGTGGCTTGGCAAGGACCTCTGAAACAGGTCCTGTAAGCCTAGCACGGTTGTTAAATTGAATTGAGTCTAGTAACAATGGAACAATTTCTTTTATTCTTTTTTTAATGTAAGTTATTTTTGTTTATTTATACACTAAAAAGTGATGTATAGATTCTCAAGATGAGAGGAGCCATGAGGTTCTCTAAAATCATTCGAATCTCACTAATGAATTAAGAGTTACGTTTACATTGAACTTAGTTTAAATTGTCTCATCTAACCTCCTAATGGGAGTTTGATTCTGCTCAATCCAATATATTAAACATGCCTTAAACACTACTGTCTTTTGATTATTCTTGATCCATGAAGTTGTCTAATTTTATAATTGTCGTAAGTTCAAATTCTTCGTTCACGAAAAAAAAATAAAATAAATAAAAAGAAGAGAGAGAGGACACAGACTGTACGAATAAACGCGTAGAATGTTTCCATAAGTCAACTTCCAAGAGGCCCCAGCCACATGCATTTCTCACCTACACGTGGAAATGGTTTTCAATTTCTTCCGATTTGACCCATTCAAAGTAATTCTCAAAAGTCTTCTTAAATACGACAAATAACAAAGTCAAACAATTCCACTTCTTACATTGCTGAGTTGGAAGTTGACATTGTCATTGGCTAATTCTTACGATAATTTGTGCTAATTGGTTGGTGTAAGTAAGAATTTGATTGTGTGCGATAATCATGATACTTCACTTATTCGGACCACTAAAATTGATGTTTATAGGACTACTTACATGAGTTAGGTACTTAATTTTGTGTGTTTATTGATTATCTTAGAAGAAAACTCGATATTCGACAAGAAAGAACGAAAAGAAAAGATTTCATCAAAAAAACTAAAGCTGGACATATTCTGAAATTTGAAAATCGAATTGTGGAGTTTGGAAATTGAAATACTTATATTGCGATATGGAAGACTTGGGCTAATGAAGCAACGAAACTGAGGAACCAAATTGTTCTCGGATGAAAGATAATGACTGTTTCGATTGGAATGGCCTAATTTCATACAATCGTCGGGCCTTGAATTAGTTTTACAGTAATCACCTAGCGTCAACGTTACAATTGCAAGCATATACCTTGTGCGATCGCAATATTCAAATGTGAGACAAAAATTTGCTTTCCTACTTCTAATCAACTAGTAGAGATATTCAGTGCGATTTACTCAGAAAAATAAACAGACAGAGTTTGGTGGAAGAAATATACATTATTCTCTTTCTTTTTCTTTTTTTCTTTTGTGGGTGTGTGCGTGGGGGGGTTGGCGTGGGGATGCTAATTGGCAGCCTTTATTTATTTTAGTTTTTTATTTGTGTGTAAGTCAATTTTCAGATTTTCTCAATCATAATTTCTCAAAAATCACACGTTGACCCACTTAAAGTCAAACGTCGCTGATCAAATTATCATATTATTGTCTAATTATCCGCATACTCGTACTCACATTTATAAATAAATATGTGATGTCAACCACTCAAACATTTTAATTGGTAGTTGCACTATTAAAAAATATAATAATTATTCATGAAATTAGCGACCAAGTCTAAGATACAATAATAAAGAATACTGCTAAGAAAATCTCATCAAGTATTATAGTGAGGGTAAAGTTATCGATAATTAACTTGAAAATAAAATATTTGAAAACGCCAATAGTTTTTTCTTATGCAAAGAAAAAGTAATCTAATTTATATTTGTGTTGGCCGTGATGTTAGATAATAAGGATAGGTAACATTTAAGTGATAGATATATGTATTGCACAGAGCTAACGAGCACAGTTTTACAGTAAAATATGTTCCAAAAGAGAATGGTAGACTAAAATGAATGTTGAATGTTATGTTTCTAAGAATTCAATTGCATTAGATCTTTAGAAGATGTTGTAATAAATCGAATCAAGCAGCAAATGAAAATTCATGTAGCTAATCGTAATTGACTCAAGTATGAGTTAGTATGTTGTGTTATCGATGGTAATGGTTTAGGAATGTTAAAAGGTAGTAGACTGGTAGGAACAATTCACTATCGAAGCTTAGTTTAAGTCTACTGTCCAAGTAAATTATTGTCCAGAATTGTCTTTCAAAATTGTGGACTGATTGAGCTTGTGGACTAACCAATAGTGTAAACCTTTCCAGTTCTATGGGGAGGAAAGCCTAACCACTCTCTTGAGTGTTACGTGTGTTATTTCTTAAATAAATTAAGACGATCAAACTGAATCTCATCGGTCAATAGACTTAATTGTTGAGCCCGTATGGCTTGCCTATTTAGGTGAGCGACCAATGAACCGGCTGGAATTAAGTGAGATCTATTCCGATCCGATAATCAATTATTTTCCGATTCACTTATCATCCCATTTTTGACACCACTCTGCCAATTTTTTTCCGAAGTACACTTCCCTGTGACATAGTTGTGCAACCAAACAAGAAACTTAATAACATTTGAGAGAACCCCCTCCCTCCACCGAACTGAAACTGGTGTAGTCTATAAACTTCTAAATGCATCATCATTTCAATCAAATATCAATTACCAAAATGCTTCTGCAGTTAGCCTGCCTTTATCTCTGTGGACTAACGTTGACATTAACCACAGCCACCACAACCTTCACAGCCTCCACCTCCGCCGCCATCACCGCCACCAACACCACTGTCGACACCTCCAACATCGCCAAAGGCGCCAACATCACCAAACCAGGCTGCCCCCGCCAATGCGGAAATTTGACAGTGCCATACCCTTTCGGCATCGGCAAAGGCAGCGGCTGTGGGATTGGAGAATGGTTTGAATTTAACTGCAGCTATGCGTTCGACCCTCCAAGAGCCTTTCTTGGAACAATCCAAATATACGAAATTTCAGATAGCCAAATGCGTATTTCGAATGTAATGGCGAGAAGATGCTATGATAGATCCGGGGCAGTGGTTTATTCTAATACAGCCTCTTCTGATATCACCACCACCCCCTTCAGCTACTCCAAACTAAACAGGTTTTGTTAACCTTCTCATTTAAAAGTTTAAGTCCTTAGAGAAAGACTATGTCTATTCTATTAAATCTTGTGCTCAACATGCTCGTAGACCAATTTCATTTTTTCATCAAAGTTGAATTCTTGAAAAATTCAGGTCTTTTCAGGGTACTCATACCATGTAAAGTATTATTACGTAAAAACTTGCTCTTATAGAGGGGCCATATATATTCACTTAAATCCCAAATTTGTATTTTCATTGAAGTCTAATAGATGTACAGTTTTCTTAATGAGCTTAATGAGTGCTGGCGAGACTTGAATTCAGGTCTTTAGCCCGGTTCTCATACCATGTTAACTATTTTATGAAACTCTTATGGAGGAGCTATATGTATTCATTTAAACATTTTGTTCAACAGGTTTACAGTCATTGGTTGCGATGATTTTGCTTTGATAACAGGCGGGGGTGACCGCAGTTTCACAAGTGGATGTGTTTCGCTTTGTTCCAAGGCGGAGGACGTGCTGGATGGATATTGCTCCGGTATTGGGTGCTGCCAAACTTCAGTCCCAACGGGGCTAAAATTTTACTTAACTTCACTCAGTACTTTGAATAATCATACTAGGGTCTCATCGTTTGACCCTTGTAGCTATGCCTTTGTTGGCGAGCAAGAGCGTTTTATCTTTCATGGTGCAAAGGATTTATCTGATCCGAATTTTATGGAAAGGACTAGAGCCACTGTCCCAATAGTGCTAGATTGGGTGATAGGGAATTTGACTTGTGCACAAGCCAAAGTTTCGACAGACTATGCTTGTAAGGCCAATAGTTATTGTGTTGATTCAGATACTGGTTTGGGTGGGTATCGTTGCAGCTGCAACACAGGGTATGAGGGCAACCCGTATCTTGATCCAGGCTGCCAAGGTCAGTTATATCGCTCTCTCAAACTATTTTGCAGATGTCGTTTAGAGAAGAGATCTTTTCTGCCTGTATTTTGTACTGATATGTGTACCATTTTGCCTTTTGTCCAGATATTGATGAATGTGCAGATTCAAACAGCAACAACTGTGAAAAGATTTGCATAAACACTCCAGGAAGTTTTAACTGTTCTTGTCCTCCTGGATACTATGGTAATGGCATAAAGGATGGCCATGGTTGCATTGCTAATAACTCGGAGTTCCCCGTAATCAAGGTGGCCTTAGGTAATTCTTTGACTTGTTGGTTCCATTTGTTATCATATTAGACGTGGTGAATTTCTTGAAATATTATAGATAACGTCGATAGTTAGGTGTGATCCTTCAATTACAAAATTTATGAGATGTTTGGTATACTGAATTAGACCACACTGGTAGGATTAAAGTAGAAAATAAATTTTGTTTGTTGTGTTTTATAGTTGTATAGCACTCTTTAATGTTATGTGTCTTGGTAATTTAATGAATCTCCGAAATTCTAAATATGGGTCATACATATGACTTTCAAATGTACCACAAGGTACTTTTAAGTCTATGAATTGATTGGCTGTTCCTGCTAATCTTATGAAATGGTCTGTGGTTAGGAGTGGTTTTTTATTTTTTATTTTTTAGTGAATATAATTATTCAGTTTAATTTCTTGGCAATTACATGCAGGTATAGGATTTGGGTTTCTGTCTCTAGTTATTGGAGTAACTTTGGTATATTTTAGTGTGAAGAAAAGGAAGCTCATAAAACTCAGGGAGAAATTCTTTCAGCAAAATGGCGGTTTGCTGTTGAAACAACAAATATCTTCTAACGATGGTAATATGGAATCATCGACAAAAGTCTTTACAGCAGAAGAGTTGGAGAAAGCTACCAATAGTTATGCAGAAGATAGGATCCTAGGTCAAGGTGGTTATGGCACCGTTTATAAAGGAATCCTACCCGATAAACGTGTAGTAGCCATTAAGAAGTCCCGAGTGATGGATCAGAGCCAAATAGAACAATTCATCAATGAAATGGTAATTCTTACACAGGTTAACCATCGAAACGTAGTGAAGCTCCTAGGATGTTGTTTGGAGTCTGAGGTTCCTTTACTAGTTTATGAATATGTCTCTAATGGAACACTCTTCGAACACATCCGTGGTAAGGGGGCATTAACTTGGTTATCGTACGAGAATCGTTTAAGGATAGCCGCAGAAGCCGCGGGTGCTCTTTCTTATCTTCATTCAGCAGCCGCTATGCCTGTTATTCATAGGGATGTCAAGTCTGCGAACATTTTATTGGATGAATATTACACTGCAAAAATATCAGATTTTGGTGCTTCAAGGTTAATCTCCTTGGACGAAAAAGAAGTGACCACACTAGTCCAAGGGACACTGGGATATTTGGATCCTGAATACTTCCACACAAGCCAGTTGACAGAAAAAAGTGATGTTTATAGTTTTGGAGTTGTTCTTGCTGAACTTTTAACTGGGAAAAAGCCGATTGACATGGAAAGGAGCCAAGAAGAGCGGAATCTTGCCACGCACTTTGTCATGTCCATTAAGGAAAACCGCTTGTTTCAGATTCTTGAGCCTCGAGTCGTGAGGGAGGGGTCTTTAGAACAGCTCCAAGCAATTGCTCAGCTTGTTAAGAGATGTCTTAACCTCAATGGTGAAGACAGGCCTACAATGAAAGAAGTGGCTATGGAACTTGAAGGTCTAAGGAAGTTTAATAATCATCCTTGGACTCATCAACCTGCACACGAAGAATCTGTCAGATTAATGAATCCAAATGATTCATCGGACCTTTATGCCGTTCCAATGACCTCAACAGACCTTTACACCGTTCCAATTAGCCCTTATACCAACACTGGGGATTTATCCGGACAATACAGTTTGGATAGTAGTCAAATGATGTTCCATCATGTAAACAACCCTCGATGATGGAAATATCGGCTTTTCTTGGCATTCCTCTGCTTACTCGTACACTTCTTTCTTGTTTGTGCCTTTTAGTCTTCATTTGATGCAATTCGAGTACTTGTTCGTTCAGTTCAAAGAAATAAAATTACTGTTTCCCTAAGTTTATGTCGAGCTATGATTTAGTATCATGCAAGTTCTTTGCTGTAAAAGAGAATCATATTGGTCTTGAACTTTAATCAATTTTTACTTCTTCTGAGACTTATCATGATACAAGTGTTGCGGAAGCTCTCACAAAAGAATTTTCAAACGGTGGTTTTCTAGGCTCAGTCCAGCGTACCTTTCTCTACCAACAACCAATCCAAACGGCTCCAAACCGCAACCAATTGATTCACCTTGGTTGCTATACAATCTTACCCACGTAGGACAAGAAAGGATGATGATTTATCGCCACAAAGGCTAAGAGAAAACACCACAAAGGTATACTATGAAAGGACCACCAATTGCACACGTTATACAAGCGTTTTAGACACTTCTGGACACCTTTTTCTCACACAAAAGGGGGGCAGCCGGGATTCACTAGTTTCTTCTCTCAAAATCACACAATCATCATCTCAAAGAGGCTAGGGTTATATTCATATATATACTCTAGGGTTAGGCTTTAAGTTGGGCCATTAAAGGGGTAAATGGGTCAAGATTCAAGCCATCCATAAGGAATACAATTGGGCCGGGTGTAGCTCATGGACTTGGTTGTTGGACTTATTTCATTCATCAGCCTATGCCTATGAAATAATATTAACCCACGTTAACATCATAGCCCGAGATTTATTGGATATTAAAAAACCCAACAAATCTCCACCTTAATGCCCAATAAATCTGCAAGCAATCAAAACACACAGTTAACACTTGAATAATCAAGGTAGCCAATAAAATTGGATCACAGACCTTACCTCGTGTTTCCAACTTGAAACACATACTATACCTGCTCCATGTACTCACTTGGGCTAAGGTCAAAAAACACCCAAGTAGAAGCAAATATTTAACAATAAACAATCAAGAGCAAATACACATGCGATGACAATATACTATAGGATAACACACACAGATCTTTTCAAAAAACATGTTCACATAGAACCATAGATTAACACCAAGTCAATCAAACCACGATCAACCACATATGCAACACATGCATAAATGACCCTAAGAAAAGATCTCACCACACTTATCCTATCCCATTTTGTGTTGCTCACACCTCGAGAACACATATCTTCTCTCATCGCCCACCACGCTCACTAGACAGATTACTCAACTCATGTCTAATTGGTGAGTCACAATAGATCCTAAGTCCACGGGATAATCATTTATCTCCACATCACTTCTCCCAACCTAAGTGGATAATGGGTCTCCACCTAACAGAAGTGATAGAAGTGCCTTTCTTACACTCCACCTAATCAGGGTCTCTTTCCAGATAAAGGATCCTAGACATTTGATCACATCTCCACTCGTGATCCAAATGTCACACTCCACATCCCCGGTACAAACCACCATGTACCTCTAGGCATCTATACTCCACCTCACCAAAAGACACACGACTCACTGCTAATGCATCTCAAACTCACTATGACAAAACAACACCTTTCGGTGACCACAAAGGTTAATCCACTCACCAATGCTCCCAAAAATTCACAAAGAAAATAGTGAAGGTGGCACTCTCAAAGAGAATCGAAGAAAGAGTCGGTTACTTCACAACACTCACAAAGGAGGCTCACAACGAGGAAGAATATAACCCTAACATGGCTGCCTCACATAATCTCACAAACCACACAGGCTCACAAAGATATAAGGAGAGAAACGGCTGCCCAACTTTCTTCTCACTACCACACTCTCACACCACTCACAGAGCAAATAGAGTACGCCACAAAACTTAACCCACTATGCATGTAAACATATTACACAAAGTAATCCTAATATCTCAAATTCATGCAAATGCACATATCAAACACATTGAAATGTAGCAGATAATCATGCAACAAAATTTAGACAATCACACACATGCAGAAAGGATCACACACAGATGCATATGCAGTGACTAGGTTTACACTCAATAAACCTCACTGGGGTCATAACTCGACCCCTCAACCAAATTCGTCTCACCTCTCATCTTTCCTTTCAGCTTATCTTTCTTCTTGGGACAGTCCCTAATAAAGTGTCCAGACTTACCACAATTGTAACACCTTTTACCACTAGACTTGTCTCGTCCCTTGTCCTTCTTCTTACTACCCTCACCACTCGAGTCACTACTCGAATCACTACCGTCTTGAGTTCTACCCAAATTCATTTGCTTAAACTTCATCCTACTCCTCATCATATGTAACTCGCCACTCCTCTTATCCTCTTTTTCAGCCTTAATCTCCATCTCCTTACTCCTAAGTGAGTCTATGACAATCTCGAGTATTAAGGTACCCCTACCATACTTAATTGCATTCTTAACTTCCCTATATGAATCAGA